CCCCTGAGTACTTTCCAAACTATCTGCAATTCATTCTCAGCCACACCCCCGTCCCTGCTACACCAGAGCTTCCCCCCTTTGCTGAACAGCTCTAACAAGCCCCTTCTCTGGTGGGTGGCCCCTTCTTGAAGCCCTTCAGGGCCCTCTCACCCTTCCAGGACTAGAGCAAGAGGACATTGGGAATGTGTGCCAATCCATCCTCTACTAACAAGCCCCCCTGCACAGGACTGGGGATTGAACCTAGGCTCTTTTTAATTTTTTTTAAATTTTTGAGATAGGGTCTCACTAAGTGCCCAGGATGGGCTCGAACTTGCAGTCCTCCTGCCTCAGCCTCCCAGAATGCTGGGGTTACAGACAGGTAACACCACATCCAGCTGCAACTGTTTTCCAAATTCACACAGTAGCTACCCCTGCCCGCCACTCATGGCTCTTAACCCAGCAAGCCTGAGGATCTGAGAGACACTGTGTGGCTGAGTCACAGATGAAGTGCCCATCAGGGTTTCCAGGATTAAACAATAGAATCCAGCCCTAGGGGAAACTGAAAGAGGGAAAGTGCGTGGGGATGTGGAACAGCTCACAGACTGGGCAGGTAGAATGCTGCAACCAGGCTTGGATCCCAGGGCACAACTCGTACATCTGGGACCTCAGGCAGCAAGGACATCCCAGCCGTATCATCAAGTGGCGCCTGGGGACCATTCATCCCAGATGGTTTCTTGCCCTGGAGCTTTACTCCCCCAAGATCCAAAGTCCTGATTGGCTGAGCCTGGGAGCAGAGCTCACTCCTTGGCTCTGGAGGGCACCTTGAGGGATGGCAGCTTCCACAACCGAGCTGGCCACACACAAACACACCCTTTCACCCCCGCCCAGTGGCCAGTGGAGCAGGGGCCCTTGGCCGCATCCTGAAGACTCAGTAGGAATTTGCCAGTGACCATATGACAAAGGTGCTAGAGACAGAGGGTACAACAGCCCCCTAGGTCCAGAAACCTCTCCCAGTCACTTTTTCACTCCTCGATGCACTGACTCAGTTGTGCATTTCACTCACCAAGCAAACATCTCAGATAACTGTGAGTTCCCTCCAGGGTCCCGGATGCAGGCAGTCAGCAGGGAGCATCTCTGAGACCCCACCTCTGCCTTCCCCCGAACCACCGCACTCTTGGTGCAGCCCCTGTTAAAGGTCTCATGTCCTCAGCTTCCTGCACGAGCCCAGAGCAAGGATCTGACTCATTATCTGCCCTAGGGGTTGCAGCACCGGACAGAAAGTGAGACTGGATGGGGAAGAGGTTTGGATTTGGGGAAGGGCAGGGAAGGCGAGGGGCTCACAGAGGTCTGGCTTCTGGTAGGAGAAGAGGAGAATGCGGCCTCAGAAAGGCAAATCGATGTGACTTTAAGGCGGGAGAGAGGCATCCCATGGGCGTGTTCTCAGCCCACTGTATTGCTCCAGCGTTCTTCCTCTCCCTGGCCTGGCCTACCGCCCTAAAGGGCTCCTGCTACACTCAGGCTGGGGAGTGCCAGGCTCTGTTTTCTCCAAGTGTGTGGCCGAGTGACGTGAGGAGAAACACAGTGCTATGGACAGTGTGGTTTGCTCCCCAACCCCCCAAAATTTATGTTGCCGTGTGACTGCCACCGTTGTGGTCTTTCAGAGACAGTTAGATCATTAAGGAGGATTAGTGACTGTCTCCAGGGACTGGGTGAATTCTCACCAAAGTGAGCTCCCAACCTCTGGAGACTGGGTTAGTAACTGTGAGAGTTTTGCTCCTCTCGTGTGCCTGCCCTTCCACTTTCTGCTTTCTGGCGTGAGCTGAATCAGCATGAGGCCCTGTCCAGCACCATGCTCTCGGCCTTCCCAGCCTCCAGAAACTCCTTTATAAATTTCCCAGTCTCAAGTACACCATTGTAGCAGCAGGAAACAGACTAAGACACATAACAAGATGCTGGCAGGTGCAAAGTCCCAGGGGCAGAGAGAGTCATGACAGATTCAAGAAACATCAAGGAGGCTGGCATAACAGAGAGAAAAGAAAGGAAAAGTGGGAAGGTGAGACCCACCCAGCAGGCAGATAGGGCCAAAACCACTGAGGTGGCAAAGAGGCCTGGCCTTTATTCTAACAACTGGGAGGCAAGGTGCGTGGTATTACTTGGTAGTGGAATGGTTTAAAAGATTTGAGGGGAAGGCGTCATCCTCTGAGCCAGGTTCCTTCCAAAGCCCCACATGCCCACTCCAAGGGCCTCCTGTTTCTCTTCTTCCCTTAGAATCCAGAGCAAGAGTCTGACTCATGAGACCAACCAGGAGCACAGTGTGTGTGCAGCTCACAAAGGGCCCCTGGCAGAAAGAGATCACCGATCCCCACTCCAATGTGGGAATTTCAAGCCTTGCAATATTAGCTTTCAAGGAGTGACATTGTTAGCAGCCACACTGCACCCAAGATCAGTCCCTTGAGGAGCTGGGGAGACCAAAGACCTGCCCTTGATGTCACAAGGGCAATAACCAGAGAATTTGGCATCCCTGGAAGCTCCTTCCTTGAACAGACATTTCCATCATTAGGGGCACGCAGAGAGGTCATTGAGAGCGTGACCCTTTCAGGCCCCAGGAGGTCGTGGAGATCATCTCTGCTCCAGGAAGGAAGGGTGGTGCCTCAGAGAGCATCTGAGCTGGGACAGCACTTAGCGTCGCTGTACCATGCCAGGAGAGCAAGAAGCAGAAGGTACTGGGGAATCCCAGAGGGCAGAGGTTGCCTGAGCAAGACCAACCTGCAAGCCCCACACCCTGTTCCTCCCATCCAAGCCCAGAAGCTCTGGCTTAGCCCCTCCTCAAAAGACCAGGAAGTCCTCCTGGCCCGGTGAGGTGCTGGCGCAACCCAGTTAGTCCGTTCCCAGAAGCCTGTACTGCTGTTTCCCCCAGGGAGTGAACAGGGCTTCCTGAGGACAGGCCCTGTGGCGCGCATCCTGCCGCCTGGCTTCTGGGCCTGGGCAGGACAAGGGCCTGAGGTTTGGGACCAGGCCTCAGGCGAGGAGGAGGGGAACACTGTCCCTGGGGGCCACTGTGCCACCCAGTGACCCTGGAACACATCCCAAACCCTCCAGACTCGTGCTCGCTTTGGCAGCATGTATACCAAACCCTATAGGACAAAGTCACTAAGTGGTAACCTGAGTGTTTTGTGGTGGCCGCTGTCACCTGGTTTGTTTTTAAACATGTTAGTAGTTTTTAAGAAGAGCCAGGTATGTTCCAGCAGGCCATGGGCCACCTTTGGCTTGGCATGGAAACCCCTCCTCCCTTGGGGTATGTGATCTACCTGGCTCACCAAGGAACTTAACAAACTGCGTTCTGTGCAGTCCTGAATCTCCCGCCTCTTCGTGCAGTCCCCTGGCCTCTTGAGTCAGTCCTCACACTGGGGACCAGCCTTTGTGAAACAGATGGTCATTTAATCCACACCACAGGAGCGTGCACACCTTCAGCCAAAGGAACAGGGAGCTAAGGTGGACCCTCAGGGCACTAGCTGGGCGGAGCACTGAGAGTGTGGGAAAGTCGCTCTCTCAGAACACTTCCTGACACACCTGGGATCAAAACCCATCTCTGCTTTCGACTGCTGTGTGACGTTCACTAACTCACTTGACCTATCTGAACCTCATTTCTTCTTCCATGTAATCGTAGAGTAACCTTTGCCCTGGCCTCCTCATGGGGATGGTCAGTATTAAAGGCATCTGAAAAGGTTCTGCATTTGTTTCTCAGTCTATGGTCATTTGGCCATGTGTCTCTCTGTGCACCCCGCCTGTGCAGGAAGCAGGCCAACTTTCCTGGGACTTTTCCTGGACCAATCAGCCTCTAGGCTCTGCTCTGGGAGCAGGAGCTGGACCCTGACACTGGAACAACCAAGCTTTCCCACACACACTGCTCACAGCCCACCTTCTTACCCATTCCACACCATGTCCCACGGGGGCCACGGGGAAACGGAGGCCAAGGAGGTCCAGGCCTTTACCTGTGGCTACACAGCTAGGAGCAGCGGAACCGGAAGTCACATACAGCAATCAGTTGCAAAATCTGTGCTCCTCCCGCTCCTGGCTGGCAGGCAGTTTCTACATAGCTAGGTTGGTCCTGGGAGCAAGGAGGTCCGAGCCTCACAGAGATGTGGGATCTGCAAAAAGGAACAAAACGGGCTTCAGGCACAGACTGCATGAGCCTCAACTCTAGGTCACCAAATTCTCACAGCTACTCTGTGGGAAGGCATGACTATCATGCCCATCTTACAGATGGCACAACTGAGGCTCAGGACCATCCAGGCATTTGGAGGGAAGTTAGAGGAGAAGATGAATGAACGAGAGATGTCTTATGCCATGGTTGTGCCCCCGGGGGGATGTCACCCAGAGGTTGCGGACAGCCTTCCTAGCAGGCAGAGCTATCAGTCCCCTGCGGGAGGAGGGAGCAAGGGCCAAAGGCTGGGGATGTTATGGGAAAACTTGAATGGCAGCTGGACTGGCCCTGACCCTAGGCTTGCTTTCCGCCCTCTCCATCCCCACCCGGTGTGTCCCCTTTCCCTGCTGTCTCCTTTCCTCCTCTTCCTCAGCGGCTCCAGGCCTCAGCTCTTCATCGGGGTAACAGGGTCACCCCGGCATCCGTCTCAGGGTGACTGTGAGGATTAGACGAGATGTGGGTATAGATAGTGTCTATCCCCGGAGAGCTGAGACTAATTACTGATATTCCCTCCTCCCTGCCTCCTATCCTGGAGTCACCCTCAGGACCCCCGAACACAGAGGCCCCTCGCTTCCCTCCAGTCCTGGTCTCTAAAGAGGCTCTAAAGAGGCACAGATGGGGTCTCAGCTGGGAGCTTCCTGCCGCCCACCCCCTGCCGCGCAGGTGAGCCGGTCTTCGCCCCTGTATCTGCTCCGCGGAGGCGGCTCCCGCGTTTGGCTGCGCTCCTTGGGCTCCCGCGCTGGCGCTGCTGGCCCCACCCGGTCTGGGCTGGCAGCGCGAAGCCACGTGATTTCTCGGCAGCGGGTTCCATGCACAAGCGGGACAGCTCTAGCGACTACTTTCAGTTTCATGCAGAACAGTGAAGCCGCAGCAGCATAGCAGCAGGTGAGTGCCGGGCTGCAGACTGGGCTGGGGCGCGCGGCAGTGGGCGGCTCGGAGTTCGAATTCTGCTCATGGAAAGGAGGAAGGGATGCCAGAGGTACTGTGGCCGGGGGATGGCTGGTGGATAGCTGGGTGGGTGGACAGGCGGACACATGGGGGGCCGGTGGCTTGGCAGTGTGCAGCCCGTTACCCTGCAGTTTGGAAAATGAGTTGTGAGCCACAGACATAGGCAGGTCTGGGTCGCCCGGCTGAGGGAAGGAGATATGAGACTGCGCTCCCTGACAACGCGCCTGCCGCTTGTCGCCCTCTCTTGCTTTTCTTTTTTTTTTCCAACTTTTCATTGTTTCCTAAAGAATTACAGAAGTCACCCTTTATCATGCACAATTCAAACTTTTTAGCCTAAAACACTTTTTATTATGGAAAATTCCAAACATGCACAAAGGAGAGGAATTGAGTTAGGCTGAAGTGTATGAACTTGATGGATTTCGGTGTAATGAAGGCACTGTATTCACCGCTCAGCTTCGACAGTCACCTACCCGGGGTTGCATGTTTCCCCTTATTTCAAAACAAATGGCAGATAGCAGAATTTCTCAACGGAAATATTCTAGAATGAATTAAACAATAAAATGGCCACGATATCATTAGCATATCCTAAAATATTTTTTCCAGTATGGGGGGTTGAACCCAGGGCCTTTGCACTGCACTATATCCCCAACTCTTTTAATGAATTATTAATTAATAAATTATTGTTTTATTGAGACAGCGTCACACTAAGTTGCCCAGGCTGGGCTCAGACTTTGAATCCTCCTGCCTCAGTTTCCCAAAGTGCGGGGATTATAGGCATGTGCCATCTTGCCCAGCTCTAAACAATTCTTTAATGTTAGATCTCCATTATTTCTAAGGAATATTTTAACTCATAAGTCGTAGGGAAATACATGGGTGTCGTGTTATTACTTGCGTTTCGCATTTCCATTTGCTTCCCGGCTCTTTTTTTTCCCTCCCTCACTCAGAAAGCCAGAACCTGGAGTTTGCTAGGGCGGCTGCCAAACCTGGGCAGACGGTGGGGTGGGCCTTGCCGGTACCTTAGATTTTGGTCTTTTTAAATTACTTTCCCCCTCCTCCTCCTCGTCCTCCTCCTTTTCTTTCTCCTCCTCCGCTTCCTCCTCCTCCTTCTTCTCTTCTCCACTGAAGAGAAACATGAACCCAGAAAAGCACAGACTTGGGCTGGGTGTGTGGCTCAGGAGCAGAGCACTTGCTTAGCGTGTGTGGGACCATGGGATGAATCTCCTGTGCCATAGAAATAAATACATAAAGCACCAGGCTTTATCTCCCAGCGGGAAGGAGGGGTCAGGCCCGGTGATGTATATGGAGTCTCCATTAGACACTTTCCTCAAACTACTGACCTGAAGCCCAGACTGGCCTCAGATCATGCCCACCTGCTCTTACTCCAGAAGCAGCTGGTTGGCTGGCATCCTGCCTGGGAGGTAGACAAACAGGGGCTCTCACTGCCTGGCATTTGTCAGGTGTCATCTCTGGGAGCCTCAGTTTCTCACTTGTAAAATGGGCGTGATAGGGTGTTTCATGGGTTGAATGAAATGAAGTATGCCCAGTGTCTGGTGAATTGTAAATTACTGCCCGAGGAGAAGGAGCCTTGGGTCCCTGACGAGGGCAGACAGCAGAAGGGTTATGGAGGTTCGTCGTCTGCTTAGCAGAATGTCTGGATGTCAGCAGCACTTGACCAATCTCCATGCAGCCCAACACACAAACCCCTTCCCCTCTGAGGAGAATCCAGCAAAACTTCCTACTACGTCTGCTCCCATCTGTAATGGGCTGAGTTGTGACCGGAAAGACATGTTGAACTCCCAATCTCCAGTATCTTGGAATGGGATCTTATTTGGAAAATGGTTGCTGCAGCTATAACCAGTCATAAGGAAGTTATACTGGACTGGGATGGGCCTTGATCCAGCGTTACTCATGCCCTCCTAAGAGTAGAGTTCAGCGTGCACATAGTGGCAGGGGTGGGGGGAGAGGAGTAGCCAAGCAGCAGAGGCAGAGATTGGACTGACTCATCCATAAACCAAGAGATGAAAGTAGAGCGAGCCCTCCGAAGGAGCCCAGGCCTGTCCACACCTAGATTTCACACCTCAGATCTTCGAGAGAACACACTGCTATTGTCTTGATCTACTCACTTTGTGGTACCTGTCACCACACTTAAGAAATCACCCCAATATCTGTCCTCTGCCTGCAGCATAGAATTAGGCTAAGGGTTAAGTAAATGCATATAAGTGTACACACTATCAAAATTTTGGGGGCTGGAGTTGTACCTCAGCAGTAGAACACTTGTCTAGCATATGCAAAGCCCTGGGTTCCTTCTATCCCCAGCACTACAAAATAAATAAATAACGTAAAACTCTTATAGGTTTCTTGAACTATAAGTTGCTGTCTTCTTTTTTCTTTTTTTTTTTTTTGCCAAATCTACTATTTTAAGAGTCGGTTGGTAGTCTAAAGTCTATTTAGCTAAAACTAAGTCTTCAGTGGATTTGATTTGAAAGCAAAAAGAAAAATGGATCATCTCAGCTGTTGATCCAGGCTGTGTAGAGAAGGGAAGCCTTTGGCCCCTTAGATTACGGCAGACCCTGGAGAATCGTCCTCTGCAGCTAACACCAACTGATTTGGTGAGGCCAGCAGCCTTGGTTATGTGTGCATCTTGTCACCCATAAAATAAGCGTGACTGTTTCACCCACATGCGGCCTGGGGTTTCCTGGGTCTTCAGGAGCTGTAAGGTTGGCGTGACCCCAAGTCTGTTCTCCAGGGAAGCCCTTGGTGCTCCCAGTCTCTCTGCGGCTCTGGGGGGCCCACAAGGGGGAGCTTAGTTCTCCTGGGCCTTCTGACCGCAGCCTCTTCTGCTTTGCTGTCGTCCTCTTTTCCTGGGTGACCAGGCCATGAAATGAGTAGGTTTCCTGGGCAGAGGGCTGGGAGGCCAGAGGAAATGAGAGCTGGCTCATTCATCCTGCCTGCTTCGAGCCTGCCCCCAACGGGCCCCTTGGCTTCATCCTGTGAGCCGCCCTGGGGACTTCTGATAAATTCTGGCTGGGATAGTGGTGACATTTGACAAAGGAGAACTCTCAGAGGGCTGTGGAAACACTGGATTCATCCTTGGAGGCCCTTTAGTACCAGTTGGATTTACTTTCGGTGTTTCTCTACACATGCCTATTCATATTTTTAATGGACTCATGAATAAATACAAAAATGGGACTTCAGTTTTTAAACTAAAGAATATGGACATTATATGTAAAGGGGAAATTAAACCCCGTGTTAAACATTTTAAGCCAGATGTGGTGGTGCACACCTATAATCCCAGCACTGTAAGAGGCTGAGGCAGGAAGATGGCAATTTTAAGCCCAGCCTGGGCAACTTAGCCATTTAGTGAGACCCTGTCTCAAAATCAAAAATAAAAAAGGTCTGGGGCTGTAGCTCAGCCTGAAGGCTCTGGGTTCAATCCTCTGTACTGCATAAATAAATAAATAAATAAATAGTTGCCTTTTTAAAATTTTAGCAGCTAATACATTTATGTAGTAAATAAATGAAAAACATACAAAAAGATACATAATGAAAAGTAAATTTCCACTCCACTTGCTCCCCAGCTGCCCAGCTGCCCTTTCCAAAGGCAGCCAGTGTTACCAGGTTCTAAAGATAGTCTAAGCGAACCTTCAAAAACATGGACACAGGCGCGCGCGCGCGCACACACACACACACACACACACACTCCTCCCTTTTCACAAATGGTAGTATATCATTGGTAGCATTGCCTAGCTTTTTCTTAAATGCAATTTGGAAGATTTCATACATTAACACAAAAAATCTGTCTGTTTTCTTTTTCTTCGGTGTTGGGGATGGAAGCCAAGGCCTTGTGCGTGCCGGGCAGGTGCTTGACCGTGGAACGGTACCCACATCCCCTCTCGTTCCTCTGAGCAGCTGAGTAGTATTTGCCACACAGCTTCTGTGTCCTTGATGTGACTGTTGGTGGACATGCTTGCCTTTTGCTATTTCAAATAGTAACATAATGAACATTCCCAGTCAAATATCATTTTTTCACGTGTGGGAGAAAATCTTTAAGAAAAACATGCAGCAGCAAATGTGAAAGGTCAGAGTAAATACACACATTGAACTGGGATGAAGAGAATTTGCCTTCTTTATGTGTTGTACTGATTTTTACTCCCACCAGCTATGTGTGAGACTGCCAGTGCCTCACGCCCTCCCAACATGGATGTTATCAACTTTTGCACATTTGTAAATCTAGGAGACGGATAATGGTATAGTATGGTTTTTTCATGTCTTTTATTACAAATGAAGTGGGACAACTTTTAAATATTGAAGGATGACCTGTCGTTTCTTTTCCTTTAGCTGTTCATATCCTTTGCCCACTTTCCTATTGGGTTGTTGACACTTTTCCTGTTGAGCTCTAAAAGCTCTTTATATATTAAGGAAATTAGCTCTTGGTCTATCATATTCTCTCTTTTTTTTCTTTTTTGGTACCGGGAATTGAACTCATGACCTCAAGCTTGCCAGGCAAGTGCTTATGCCACTGAGCTACATCCCCGGCCCAGTTCTTGGTCTATCATAGTTATCATTTTAAGTGGCAGCGTGGCTGCCCATGGGATGACTGAACACATCCATTCCACTTAGATTTTTAGATTGGGTCTCATTTTCTCCTGTTACATGTGGAATATTTCCAATTTTTTACATAAAATATAAAATCCAATTTTTTTTCAGTCCTGGGGATTGAACCCAAGGCCTTGCACATTCTAGGCTAGCACTCTGCCAGTGAACCACACCTCCAATCTTTTTTATGTCTTAATATTGGGACAGGATCTTGCTAAATCACCCAGGTTGGCTTCCAATATTTGATCCCCCTGCCTCAGCCTCCTGAGTAGCTAGGATTACAGATGTGTGCCACTGTGGCTAGCAAAATATGACACTTTAATTCTTCTAGTACCTTGTAA